TGCATTTCGCCTAATAAACGATCAGATGTAACCTTTTATATGGTACGCAAATTTGACCAGATGTGTCTTAACGTAGTTACAACACCCTATCTAAATTAAACAATTTGAAAGCGATGAAATTAAAACGAAAAAAATACGCATCTAACAGAATTTCTAAAAAGAAAAATAACACTGAAATTCAAACTCAAATAAAACAAATCAACTCTGTTAACCCGTTAACCGGAAGTGATACCGAGAGTTTCAATATCAATATAAAAAATTTGCACCCCAAAACGTCGCTCCCGGATAATTCGTACCGGTACATTTCGTTGCCAGTTGCCAGGCCCTAGACATTTCGGTACCTAAACATTGAGCTCCCATATAATTCGCACCCGCCAAATTGCACCCTACAAACTCGTTTCCGAAGAATAGCGTTACGGTCTTTCGTAGCAAATTCTGTAAATCTTTGCAGCCAACGTGTTGAAATACTTTTAAGAGCCTAACTACCGCAATTGTATCTCTACTTTAATGCCTTATCGAAGGGTAAGCACTACAAAGGGGTTGCTAATCTTCTCAGGTTCGTGATGTGGTTCGATGTCGATGTCCCTCTTAGAATTTTCTTCGTCTTCTTCTTTTATTGTAGTACATAGGGATCGATATTTCGTACTAAAGTTCCCAGGCTAGCTCAGGTAAAAATAGGTTAAGAATAGGAAAGGATTCAATACATTTTTCTTCCACAGATCTCATTAATGATCAAATGAAAATTACAAAATATTGTCTCAACAGAATACATTTATTAGTTCAACACTGAACTCAAAAATTGAGGTCCAGTGTTTTCGTATAAGAATTATTTAGTTTGTGTGTCATTTTTTCAACTGTAAAAAGAGAGAAAATATAGCAACGATTGTTCTTTCTTTCATGTTTGTATTCATTGATTTTCTCGTAATCGCCCAAAATGAACTGCAGAAGAGTCCCTGGAAGTTTGTAAGTAATTTGATTAGATGGAGTGCATTTTTCTTTAAATTTGTAGCATGCTCTAAGGATCATTCGAATGGAATTAAAGGTCGTTGGTGTACTTCATCAATGTGATGAATGTGATTTAACTTTCGGGAACCGATACTAGATACCTAGAGAGTTTGGGTTTAAGTGAGCAACATCCAGGTGAGGACTTTGGATAATTTTTCATTTCTAATAACAATTACAAATAATAAACGTGATTGCGACAGTACACTTTTATGCCTGCAATAAAAATGTAAATGCGTCCAGCACGTTGCTACTTACCTTACGGAACTTTTCGAGGGCAGGAGACACAATGGATTCCACGTTGTCCTTGGTCATTGACATCTGTGTTTATTAACGCAAGACTCTAATTAGGCAATAAATTTGTTCCATATAATTTACATTAATAAGGCCGTCGGACTATAAGATTTCGCGATGCGAAGTAAAATTAATCAAACAGCCATGAACCACGAACGCTTTGTAATCATTTTTGCACTTTTCGTCCAGTCAGCTAAGGTAAGTTACGGGTTTTGCTTCCAATATTATTGAAAAATGATTTCATAGTGCGCCTTGTTTGACTCCAGCGACATCACGTGTAGCGAAAAATTAAACGTACCCAGAAGTCTATTTGATAGCTGGTTCCAAGCTACTTCTCTCTATATCGTAAACGATGACAAGTTGATTGGCGAGTACTTGAAATGCTGGATGACGGAAAGGAGGATTGTCAATGAAGATGGAGAAATAAACAACGATGCCCTTTATGAATGGATCCAAAACGACGCGTTCGAGTATTTCGGGAAGGAATATCCAATGGCAGAGCGGAAACAAGCTGCAACTAAATTTGTATCTGAGTGCCAAACGGAGATTGGATTTAATGACAATATTGGAGGAAAGGAGACTGGAGTATATAACTGCATTATAAGGAAAACTGGAAAACTCGTAACAAAATAACATTCATAGGTACTTAAGGTACTTTCGTAAAATACTATATCTAGTATATGAGTAGCAGTCTATCGGTTAAAGACGATCACTCTGGACCATTTTGGTTAGAGATTCTTGCACTATTTTTTTGCACGATCGAAAAGATAAAAGTTGCAAATAATGATTGCACTGATTAAAGTTTTATTTATTATGCCAGATTTTTTCTTGTAACAAGTGCGAAGGATTTAGGTAGGTAATTAGGATCCACATCTCTTTCATTTCGCATGTTTACTGAATATAGCCTATACACTGTGTCCTAGAAAAGGAGGGCCACTTTGAGCATTCTCGAGAAAAGTAGCGTTTAGGAATAATTTTTTGGTTTTTGAGATATTATGAAAAAAATCCGTTTTTTCGATACTATTTTTTCTGGCATTAATATTTCACCTGGAGCAGTCAATGAGACTTCTCCATAAAAACTTTTAACGCTCTTAGGTGGTGTAAATTTTTTAATCCGACGGTTCGTCTTTGTGTAACAATAAAGTCCATTTTTTTAAATACGGTCCGGATATTCCGATACAATATTCTTAAAACCCTTTTTATTCAGTATTTACTGATATTTATGGCACTTTATGGTTTAATGGTAGTTTAGCCTTTTTTCCTGGATTAAATAAGAAAGTTCTTATTACGGACCTGTACAATAATTAACAGTTTATCATCTACTTACTTAATAGCAATCCAATGAGTGAATATATAATATCTTCTGACCGTCGATTCAAACACTCTTGTCAGCATTGGCGGAGTAATGTTAGCAAACGAAAGAAAATATTAACCACGGAAACATCTGCACGACCTCTAGTGGGAAAATAAAGAACTATTGTAAATGAAACATATGATTACCTCTAAACTAAACGGAAATGCATAATAAATTACTACACATCATTGTATTCAGAATAAAAAGAGCTATATGTAAACGCAGTATCAGGGCCGTATTTAAAAAAATTAAGTTGCGCAAAGACGAAACGTCGGATTAAAAAGGCACCTTAAAGAGCTGTGGAGAAGTGTTTGGTTTTATTCGAGGTCAAATATTAACGCTAGAAGAAAATAGTGAAATCGATAAGTCCCAGACCTTTTATTGCGCAAGTTTTCTCCCATTTAACCAAATTTGAATCTTACTATTTCTAGCTAGAATGCCCATTGTGGCCCTCCTCATCTCGGACACGATGTATAGACTATATTTTATAATAAAAACTGATAAAAAAACAGACCCTTATACTAAAATTGCATCTCACAGTGATTCTACATGCAGCGAAAAGGAACACACCTTGGTATCAATCATATCCCATAGACTTATTGTTCGGTTTGCTATGTAACTGCTTCAACTACACACAGGGCGAATATAAGCGTCTTCTGCTTATGTGTTGAGTTCGCGTATACAACAAAAGGCATAAAAATCCACCGGTTTCCCCTAATTTGTTTTCCTTTCGCAACAGCTGGTGCCCCTTTCAGAAGGAGCAGAAATCGCTTTACTTTGCGAAATGACATTGGTATTTTTATTAAATATTTTTCCTAAAAATAACACCTTTTAAAATAAGTACCACCTAAAATGTCTACGCCTAAAAGCGTAAGTCAGAGTATCCTAATGACCCAATTAAGACGCCTCAGCACAATACTTTTTATGTAGTTCCCTGGGTGAGGCATCAGGTGCGCGCTACGTAAAATATTTTATAATAAGCGTAATTGCACGCGTATTTCAGACAATATTAAATTAAAACCTCCTTTTTGTTAATGCCCTTTTAGGTTTATCCAACATTCTTTCTTATTATCTTCTAAATCCTAACGCAAAGTTATGAAGGCACTTAGACCCTTTTTGCCATAATTCTCTAAATAAGGAAACACACTTTTCGCGAAAAATATACCCTATTCGCCACATAATCCCAATGAAAATTTAAATAGGCCGAAGACGTAATAAATTTGCGAGGAAATTCAATTAATACCTTCTCCATTACTTTAATTTTCTATTATATGCCTTGTGCACGGCAAGTTCAATTCTCAAAAGAGGATATCAATAGTACCAGCTCCTCCGTAGTCAATTTGTATTTCATGGTTATTGCAAATGATTAGACCACCAAAAATACGCGTTCTATCTATTCCAGTCGATCGTGTTATGAAGCCATAAATGCTTCAAGATTTAGGCCCATAGATACCCAAATTCATATCTACTGGCGAAAGGAATGTGATAGGTCTCGAGGATACATTTCTATGTGAATAGTCAAAACTTCCACTGCACATGCACATTCTTCGAAACTGAAAGCTTGAAGAGATACCAACATAGGCCAATGTGTTTGGGCGAAACGGTGTGATTATAAAGGTTAAAACTTTCAACGTGAGTACCTTCGTAACCACTAAACAGTCAAGAGGAGCAGTAAATGAAGCAGTTTTTGAGGAAATTTGAATTTTACAAACTGTGAGTTAGTCTGTAAGTTAGAAAACTAGTTAGACGACCTTTTAAACTGCCATATGCCATATGCAAATAAACAACACGTTTCAGATTAGCTGCCGTCTAAATGAAATGTTGAATTTGAATTCGATTCTGGAACTCTCTGACCAGATGAAATGTTCCCGTATTCTCGGCACTAAGTGTCCTCATCTTGAAATGGGCAACTAGAATTGCGGTCGAAGGTAACGATTTGCTGGTGAAATGTGTTCCCGCCACTGGATGTGTGTTTTTCAATATCTAATGATTGAAATATTGTCTAATTATGGATTATTGAGAAGTAAATCGGACTCGAAGGACCAAAAACTATAATGCTTTGAATATACTGCATTTATTGTAAACTAAAAAACTGAATTCGAATACATTTTTTGTATTATTTTACAAGTCATTGTCATTATTATTACAAAGTCATGGTGATTGGCGCATACATCCATCGTACCGATATTTCCTAGATCTAGAATATTTGAGTTGAATAATCGCCTAACAAATTCTCTTTAATGTAACACTTTGTTTGCTTCTAGCCAATTTGATTTTCGCAAACATTAATCAACAATCTCAGCAATTATTGACCTAACGACTAACATGATAAAAATTTTTGAAACAAAACAGTACTGCTCTTCAATGTTTGGTTTCGTTTTCCACGAAATACTTGTGAGTAAGCTTCAATATTACAATTTTAGTGAGAAACTCGCCTATGCCACCTTTAAAAACAGGAGTTCCTCAAGGATACATACCGGGTCCTATTCTATTTCTTATTTACATATGAAATGCCCTAACGTCCTATAGGCATTGTATGGAAAAAAACCAGCTGACCTTTCATCAAAAAAGTTACATCATTGATCCAGATATTTGTCATTTGGATAACACAATTTGTACATCAGACTTAGTGTCTTTGGTCGTTGTACAGCTGTTGTTAAGTATAATTTGAATTTCGGCTAAACTTTTACCTTTCGTTTCTGGTATATAGAAGTGAGTAAAAAGTGTAGTGAGAAAGCAGCAGACTCCAAAAATGTAAAACGGCACATGCATTTCATACGCTTCATGTAAGTAGTGAAAAAGGTACGTAGATGCAGCAGAAGATAGACTGTACATTGCTAAAGCTGTTGCCATACCCATGGCTTTTACATCTGCCGGAAAGAGTTCGGCAGTTAGTACTATCGGTATCAATCCCAATCCACATCTGAAAAAGACTGCGTAGCACAATGTTGATGCAGCGGGGATCCAACTATAATCGTCGACCTCAATCCCCGCGTTCTTTACGGTGAAGAACGTTGCTAGAGTTAAAATGGAAAGGCCGGTCAGAGTACTCGACCAGCAAAGCAGCACTTTTCTTCCCATTCTGTCAATTACTGCCGATGATAATAGAGCGGCTCCTAACATACACGCCGAAAATGTTATCGCAGACTCAACCGCACCCCATGATGTGTCGGCATGGTTCAATATCGTATGAAGATTCATCAGAATAACGCTAAAACTACTAAAATGTTGTGCGCAATTTAGCGTTGTAACAATCGTCAGGGCCTTTCTACTCGCTTTCATGGTCACCAAATCCGTATAACGTCGCTTTTTCGTTTCCTCTTGGCGCGATTTCACAATAGCCTGTATTCCTTCCAATTCCTGGCCGATATTGTCCGATGTCACACGTAACAACAGCAGTGCTTTTTTGGTTTCGCCTATTTTTCCTTTAGAGAGAAGATAATAGGGTGATTCAGGCATGAAGGAGAAGATGAGAAGCTCTACAACCAGAAATGAGCAGCCGATAGCCGACGATACTGGAATCGAAACAAACGGGCCTACAGAATACATTATCAGAATTCCTATTGACATCATTAGATAGATTGACGATCCCAAAAATCCACGCACATTCTTGTCAGCTATTTCACTAATGTACATGGGTGTCGCTACGAAGTCAGCGTTAGCCGCAAATCCGCTGATGAATCTCGCCACGTAAAAATACACAGTAGTAGGCGCGAATGCTTTCAACATCCAGGATATGATGCCCATTACGGTTCCCATTAAAATTGTAGTTTTGGGCCCGAATTTGTTAACACCGTAAATTATGAAAGGTATTCCAGCCAGTCCACCTATCATGAAAATTGATTGAAGCCATATGATGTCTGTGTGTGTTATTGGGTATGAAGATTCGGCATCCTGAAGTATGGGAACTATCGGCGCGGTCCAAGCAAATTGCATTCCATCGGAAATCGCACATAATGTTCCTGAAACAAATATAATAATTACAAATGTATGTCCCTGTCTCCGCACAATGACTAAAATTAGTACTATACCTATATTTATAGTCCAGTCAAATAAGAAAAAATAAAAACATTAATCGGTAAAGATCTGAATTTTGGTACACATGTTCATTAGTGTTCCCTATTGAACATACTAAAAGTCCCCGTCAAAATCTGTTGCGCTCGAGGCGCCATCCTGGAAAAAAGGAGCACTACTTCAGTTTCTTGCCTATATATCGGCAACAATTATTGATACGGAAAAATAGTTCAGATAAAAAATATAGTTTATTAAATTGCCCATAAAAAGCATATTAACATTTTTTTGTATATCCAATACTTTAGCTATAATCCGACATCGAATAGGGAATCAAGTATCCTGAGTTCTCGAAACAGTGGCGCAGATATTTTTTTACAACTTTTTACAAATCATTAAATTCATTGAAAATTCTACCAGTATTTCTTATATGTGCGAAGTCGTCGCACTCAGGCTTGGTATGAGACACGTTTAATAAGGTTTCTCATAAAACGCTCTCTCAATAGAACTTTCATCTTCAATGTGAGCACTGAGTGTGGACTGGGAGCCTTCAGTGTCCGAACAGGGTCAAGGTAATTCTGAAGGTCTGATAACGATGTCGGTTTTAATAGCCAGGTTGCGGACAGCATTTTCCGTTATGTTAGACGGCCATTTTTTCTTATAACATAAGAAATATAAATTTTTGTAGAAATAATTTACGGTATGAGGGCTTTTTGTACGATATATTTATAAATAGCGGAACCAATGAAAATGAAGTTCTTATAATGTGTCACTGCGCAGTACGTAATCACTCATAAAAATAACATTTTCCTGCTAACCTACAATTGTGCAGTGTTTATGTTGGCGGTAGTTCTTTTCTTTTTGTCTAAGAGCATAGTAGTGAACTTTGGACATTTTAACACAATGTATAATAAAAGTGAGGTTAAGACTCCTTCAAACTTATAAGCAAAATTGAACACGCCCAGCACACACCGCAACTTAACTTTGCTATAAAAATGTGTTATACTTATAAACTTATATTATAAGGAAAAATGGCCGTCTAACATAACGGAAAATGCTGTCCGCAACCTGGCTATTATCTCTCACTAGCAGACACGTTATACTTATGCAGATAAGGGCGTTCTTCAGCTTAAGAAATCATTTCGCCTCCTTCTATAACTACGATACGGGGCCTAAACGCGTTCTGACGTATTCAACGTGAGATTACAGCTAAAGTACTGGAGATACAAAAAAAATGTAAATACTCTTTTTTATAGGGAATTTAGTAAACTATATTTTTCATGTAAACTATTTCTTCGTGTCAGTAATAATTTCCGAGACATGGGCAAAAAATTGGAAAAGTGTACCGTTTTTCCAAGATGGCGTCTCGAGCGCAACAGATTTTGACAGGGACTTTTAGTATGTTCAATAGAAAGTCCCAATAAATGTGTATACCAAAATTCAGATCTTTACCAATTAATGTTTTTATTTGTCCAAAATTGCGCCAATTTGACTGGACTAATAGTCCAGTCATATTAGCTCTAAAAGTAGTATAAACTGGATGTTGTCCTTTCACTAAACGAAACCAAGCGTAGGTATTCTATGTAAAAAAATCCTCTGAATCGGAAAATCATAGACCCCCCGGCCGGAAACGCCCGGAACATATTGTTATAAACAAAAAACGAAGAAAAAATGGGAAAATGTCGTGTTTTTTCACATTTGACTGCCAATATCTCGTTAACTATTGCTCTGAGGGAAAAAATGAATAGAAATGAACTTGTTTAGAATAAAATTTCTATAAGATACAGATTACTTTTTTACATTTTTCCATAAATAACAATAACAGTTGAAAATGAGCCTTCCGGGCCAACTGTATCTTATAGAAAATTTTATTCTAAACAAGTTCATTTCTATTCATTTTTTCCCTCCGAGTAATAGTTAACGAGATATTCGAAGTCAAATGTGAAAAAACACGACATTTTCCCATTTTTTCTTCGTTTTTTGTTTATAACAATATGTTCCGGGAATTTCCGGTCAGGGGGGCTATGATTTTCGGAATCAGCGGATTTTTTTACATAGGATACCTACGCTTGGTGTCGTTGAGTGAAGTGACAACATCCAGCCCAAACCGTAATAATAATAATAATAATAATAATGTTTATTTACGCCTAGGGCAATTTACAATATAATATACTATAATAATAAATAATCGTAGCTAACAACTACGTGTACCTAAGTAGATGACACGAAATAATTAAATTTAAATATTGATATAATAACACGCAACGTCATTCAGTTAAAAGTATTATAGTATTCCATTTGAAAATCGGGAGAGATACACTAAATAAATCGATTTTATCATTGAAATTGTTCAATAACTCCAACAATCGATTTCGAGGACTGTTACGAAGGTAAAGAGTTCGATTAGGTCTCATGTAAAGAAGCCTCGAAGATCGAACGAATCTTTGAGGAACATTAAAGTAAATGTCAGACAAGATAGTATGACAGTTTATGTGGCCGTTTAATAACTTAAAGCCGAACTGCAGGGTAAGTAGTGTTCTTCGATTTTCTAACCGCATCACTAATTCGCCACTGATCTCCAGTTTTCCGTGGTCCGATTACCTTTAGTGCTTATATTTGTTGCAAATGAAATGCTCTTACTTTAGTGGCTTCTTTTGGACTGGTCTTCCCCGTGATCAGTATTTTATTTGCCTTGAGAAAATCCAGCAAATATTCGTAATTGTCGTTTGTCGTTTTTTGCAAGCGTTTTCTTTGCACATTTTGCGTGCACCCATGTATATCCATCGCGTGGTTTTGAAGAATAACGACGTTTATAAAAACAAGACGGAAACAAATGTCAGTTTACTTGTCAGCGTAACGGAATGCCCGTTTTAACGATACGGGTGATCTGTTTTCTTTGTCGAGCATAGCGTATATTGAATACTTATCACTCTCTCTCTACATTTAAAGCTGTTAAAGTAAACCAATGACAAAACTTTTTTCCTTTACTAACCAGAAGCGGTTATAGTAGTGATATGTCATACTAAAAAATTGCTTCTCCGTTTAAGAGTAGGCTAAAGTACTCCGTTAAAGTTACGTAACGGATTGCGGATATTAGTAACGGATTTGATACATCATAGGACTGATTAGGGTTTAGATAAGGAGTGAATGTTTGCAGAAAAGGTCTGATGATGAATCAGATTCGATTTGAAGTCGCTAAGAAGTCGCCTAAGAAAGAAAAATGAAGTCAATTATTTGAAACGTGTTTAAGGTTTAAATACATATCTACATCGATAAACAAAACTCTATTCGATTAAAAATTGGTTTACAAGAAAGTAACAAAACAGAAGCAGTTACAAAATGCAAACTAGAAAGGTTCAGTTAAAAACAATCTAAAAAAAACGGTGCAACCTGGAAGGGGTAATTTGATCTTGCATATGGGAAGTGTACCCTCCCGACGGTTGAAGACGGCAGAAATCGAGTCACACTTTTTCTGTAAGAACACAAGCCTTCGAAAAGTCCAAAGCACACGAATTCCATTCTACTTGGCGTTGAATGTGCCCCAGTTTTCGTGCGTTTCGGCTATACCCTACTACGTGGAAACGTCGGAACCTGGTGGCAAGGAGTGAAAGTTTTTCCACTTCTGGGAAGAAGCAACGACCCTGATCAAGGAAAACTTCGGCCCCACATCACCGCCGTTTTTGCCACCGAGCAGGGAGAGAAGCAGCCAACCGAGGGAAAAATGGCCCCCGATCGTAAAGATCCCGGACGATGTGAGACCAAATAAGCAATTTCAGATGAGCATGGTCTACGGACTCCTTCACCAGCGCATCCGAAAGTCGTCCTTCGAACAAAAATAACGACGTTCAAAGATCTCATCGTGGAAGTGAGGAAAATGGAAGAGTGCAACCGCACGGAACCTCTATCCATCACCAAACCGACGACTACAGCGACGCCAAACCGCGTCCCACATGCGCTTTCTGTCGCATCCCCGGCTACCACAAAGATGAGTGCCGCAAGCGAAAGCGAGGGGAGAATGCAAACACCTCCAACACCAACTCTAAAGCGAAGCCACTACCGGTACCAGATGCAACCGACCCATCTGCAAGACCCAGTGGAATAACTTGCTTTAGATGCGGAACCCCAGGTGTGATCCGGAGCCAGTGCAGAACCTGCAGCCGACGACGACACCGACGGACACCGGCAACGCTGTTCCCATATTCGCTTCGTCGTACGACGGAAGTCGTCCGACCGACTCCGATAGTAGATGTCTCGACGCTCGGATTACGGGATTCGCAGTCGCATCCGCCAGACCGGAACAGTCAGAGCGACGCCGCCTACGTCAGGGCAGCGCCAAGGCATGTCGACTTCCATCTCTCGCATTCTCTGGAAAACGTCAGCCAAGAATCGCCGACTCTGGAACTTGCCACCTTGGAACTGTGAGCAGACTAAGGGCAGGAACTCCACCCTAAGGCCAGAGAGCGGACAAATGGACTCCTGTCATATCGCCACATCGCTTGCCGTCGAACAAACGGGAACAGGGCACTGGCAAATTGCCGTAAAAATAAGTGATCGCGATAAAACCGCTTTTATCACGCTATTTGTAAGTTTCAATCCTTCCAGCCACTAATTGATCGCTTTCAGCTCGGTATCCTAGGTCACCGTCCTTGCGTATTTGGTCTATCTCTCACCAGACTTCGACCATTATCTCCATGACCTGGAGAAGGTCTTCAGACGGCCCAATCTGCGCACGCGACTCTTGAAGTGTTACTTCGTCTGCCTCCGAGCTTTGAATATTTATATTCAAAGCTCCCAGTTAAGTATCTAGGACAGGTAATCACACCCAAAAAACGGCGACCCACCCCCCGGAACGTCAAACAACTGATTTAGTTTCTACAGACCTGCTCAATGCTCATGGTACCGGCGCAGCTCTTCCGAAATCCCTGACCTCGCTGCTCAAGGACGCCCTAAG